AGTTATCTATAAACGTATAATTATTACTGCGCAATAATTATAATATTAGACCATTATCTATACTCTAAAGCGACAAAGAACAAATAATCATTATTGGTTGTTTAATCAATATATTAATTAATTAATAAGCTTGTGTTTGTAGTATAAAATTAAAAATTGCCGCTCTATGTACCATGTGTGATGTGTGACATGCATAATTAAAGACTAGGCCGTGTTTGTCCCAATTGAATAATTTAATTAGCTAATAATAAATAATGTGTATATATTAATGATTTTATTAGTATAATTATATGATACGAAACTTCGACGGTAAACATTAAATTGTTGAACGCTCAAAAAGATCGTAAAAAACTATGAATTAATAACTAAAAAAAAAAAAAATCCAGATATTCAATTATGATTTCGGTTTCAACTCATAAATATATTAACAAAGGTAAACTAAAAAAAAATTCATAAATATAAAAAATATTCATTATTCGTCACTATCTATATAATATAAAATAATATACATGCAATGTTTAAAATTTGCGCATTTTAATACTGCACAACTTTTTCCACATACCAAAATATTTTAAAATAATGAACCTAATAGTGCACATATGATTAGATAGCAAACATTTTTTTTTGGTATTTATTAATAATTAGTTTTAAGCAGGATTCGGGACGTATAGCATTTGTATAATTTTCTTATTTATTGTAAAATATAGCAGAGTGCAAAATAGATTCATTTCTGGATGCTATGATGCTATGATATATATTTTATAGATTTTACAGCAAAGTGCTTATTTTGCAATCGAAAAGCATTTATATTTGAAAACTTTAAAAAAATGTAATTATTCAGTGTTGCAACAAAGATAGGATACATAAATATAAAATTGTTTATTTATTGAGGTAAATGGAAATTATAATTTTAATTTTTCCTATCATTATGTAATTGACGAATAAAATTTAAAAACAGGGAAGTTACCTATTTCAAGAAACAGCTTAACGATTATTTGTTTTTTTTTAATTTTTAATGTTGTACTAATTATTAATAATAAATAAATGAAATGTATCTTTTTAAATTTTTTATGCATATTTTAGTGCTTATTATTGTGTTTTTAACTGCTATAAGTCCCGAACACTAGTTATAAGTAATACAATATAAGACAACCTTCTAGTCTTGGAAAGTTGAGTAAAGTTTATTATAATTATAAACCGTAAATCAATATAAATGAATTCAAATCAATATTATCTAATCAAATAAAAAATTGTGAAAACCGGAAAAACTGCTGCACACTTTTAAATTTCCTTTTTTTATTTTTCATAAGCTTAAGAGCACTTTTATACCAATAGCGCCTGGGGCAAGCATATTCTTTTTCCCCTACCTCCTTTGATCCAGCACCGTATAAATATAAATATCTATAGCCGATTTGGGTACATAACACATAAACTGAAACGAAAACTGAAATTAAGCAATATACTTATTAAAAAAAACATTACACTATCTAAAATAATGCTCTTCATTTGACTTAAATTAAGTTCAAGCATTCAAAAAATGAATACAAACTTTCGCTTTTTAGCAAAAAAAAAAGTTTAACTCAATAATGCGGGTCCCCGCCCTTATTCCGGAGACAATTGATCGAGCAATTTTAACTTTTTTTTAAAGCGACGCGTCGGGTAATATTCATGCTCGACAAGGTATATTATTTGTACTGGTTGAAGACCACGATCTATTGACCAGATAACAATACCATAGATACCGCTCCAGTACACTACTAATAGACAGGTCATTAATTATTCATATGAAATACACAATGCAAATATGTACCCATACTACATACGCATGTATTTAATAGTTTTACTTGTAAACTTAAACGTGTATATATATATATATATTTGCACGAGTGTGTAGACCATTCTATACATCACAATGGCGCCAGAAAAATTAGAAAAAATATGAAATTAAACTAAAAAAAAAAAAAAAATGAAGTCGCAGTACGAAATTAGCTGCAGACATAAGCCGAGCGTTATGAAAAATGGTTATTGTAGGTCGCGGGGAACCGAAGAGACGGATATCCTCCTATATGCCAGCTGTTGCGATATAGTTTATTAGATATGTATATAATTTATTCCGTTACGTCCTACTTAAAAATAATGTCGTATCCGTACTGTTACGCAACAACTGCATAACAACAGTTATATAGTTATAACTTATACATGTATACCAAAATTACACTCGCGGTACCATACTGTTCACATGCGTGCGTAAACGCGTACGAAAGGAATCAAAAACTGTCGTTCGGTATAGTGCGTTCAACTAGAAATGTTGACATTATACGCTGCATTACACATTAAAGGGTTGTCCGGTTGAAAGTTGATTTCACCGATTTTGGTAAATGCAACTAATCGTCCAGTTACGCCGTAAATAAGTGTAATTTTTTGTGCAAAGTAATTGTAATTTTAGTTTAACCAACCAACAATTTGTTTCCACACGCGTCCGCACGCTTCAAACGTTTTCCTCACTTCACTTTTGGTCGCGCGACCGGCACCGTCGGATGACATATGGTCGCGTCCGCTGGTCTTTTCATTATTTGTATTACGATAAACATTCGTGTTTTACGTCTAAATTGATTAGATTGCACACGAATAAATTGCACATTGCCAGCAGCACAATATATATAACATCAACTATAGGAACATTATTAGTATTTTACTGTATGATGGAACGATGTAAGTATTGTAAAAGCATAAATAGGGCGTTTTAAATTATGAAAATTACAAGTCATTATAGTCAAATACAAACAAATAATTACTACGCAAATTTGTCCTCACTTGTGATTTGTGTAATATGATATTATACACCGAATCGATATTATTCCCGTCAATATGGAAAAGGATATGGTTTATAACATTTATACTAATATTGATATTATACAAAATGTAATATAATATATACCGTGGCTACAATATTTGTGTATTGCGTATACATTAAATATGCTGCATATACGATTACAATATAATATGATAATGAGGGCATTCCGCGATTGATTATAATACCATCAATTGTAAGTTGAAATAGTTTTGGAAAATACGGTTCGCAAGGGGGAACAAGGAGATCCTAACACCTAAATCTTCCCTCGTATTCATCCAAAAGGTAGTATCCAAAAGGCCTGGTGGTCAATAATTGGTGAATATCCACAGGATCACGATCCCATACACATACAGTGGTTAAAGTTTATGCGTCCAATTTAATTTAAGTCGCCAAAAGTCCGGGTGGACGCTTAATGGTCACTAAAATACAACATTGAATATACAATACTTATTATAATATTACAATATTACATGAAATTTATTTTCTTGGTTAATTTGAATAAGTGGAAAAAATGTCGGAGAAATTATATTTAGGTACAACGATAAGCAAAAATGGTAGGTAATGTACACCATGGGTTAATTTAATTGACGCTGTGTCTAATTATAGATGATCCCCGAGCGGTTATTACCCATAGCTCTAAAATTAAAGTGATAGTGATATCGACTATTATTTAGAATAAATATAAACAGAATAGAATAACTATAAATAGTATAAATATTAAATTATGATAGAGGATAGACACTATCTTATAATATAGACAGTATACACCTTATATGCAATGTACGTATTTGTCACTGTCTACATTGACTAACAACTAGTAAGGTTAGTAATTTTCTTTTTAGTTTTATTAAGTTTGGGTTAAGTTCTTTAAACATTACCTACTATGTATTTCAATTTATTTTTTTTGAGCAGGCATACGTATGGAATTATCGTATTAAATTATTATACTTTTTTCCGCAGTAGCGAAGCTTACTGGTAATGATGCCACAATACACGTTCCGTGGCTTCCTTGCCCTCCCCCCGGAACCGCGCCAGGGATGGCAAATGGGGTATTTGCCCTAGTCTAGTATTAACTTCAACCTCGTACAGTCGACGCGCTTCTAAAAAACATAAGAAGTCTACAAGAGGCCGACTTTGTCAACAAATATTTAACACGGGTCAGTCGACATTCCAAAGCCACCCCTCTCAAAATCCGCCCCTGAACGGCACGCGTGCGGAGACTGCATCTTGAACGGAGTGCGGGTCAACGGCGTCACGCAGATTATCAGCGGTGCCTCAACAACCGGGATGTTAAACTTGTTGCGTATTTTTAACGTTAACGTATTGAGTGGCACGTTTAATGATAAGTAAATTGTAAATGGTCTGTTTTGGAAAAAAAAATACTATGCATACTTAGATAATTATAGCACAGAATATATGAAACAAAAAAATAATATATATTTCTTATAGTATTCTGTGGTTATAGACATGCACGCAACTAGAGCCCAAATAATGGGGGTACTGAAATTGCTGAAAATAAAATAAAATGGTATTTAACTGTAATTACTATGGGTTATATAGATCTGGAAAAAAAAAACAGGAGTGTTACGTTTGAACACAGGGGTGCTAAAAACCCTATTTGCGCCTATGGTTATAGGGCCCTAGAATAACCTAACCGTCGGAGCCCCAATATCCCAGTCGCGCCATTGGTCATCAGACCGACAGCTGTCCGCGCGAATCGAAACGGATACGGAACACAATAATGCTTCGGTCGAGAACGGTATGTCCGTAGGACGCGCGCCAGCCTTACGCAACGCGATAGAACGTCGACGAGCAGCGTTACGCGCTCGCACGATGTAAGTCCGGTTCGTTTTAGCAAAAAAAAAAAAATAAAAAAAACCGGGACGCGCGGCTCAACCGACATTTAAACGCGACACGTTTTCGGTGAAACCATTACGACGTAATTGTATTACGGATTCGCCCCGCCGCGGCGAGCGGTTTTTTTGTTCGTGAAAACGAACGCGGTCCGGCGGCGGAGCGACGACGGACGAACGAGTTGCACCTGAACACCCCTCCGCCGCCGCCCGGCACCGCAACCGTCTCGCAACCGGCTCGAATCCCGTCGATCAACGTCGGCGGCGGCGAGTGTCGGCCGCAGTCGGACGAGACGGCCGACGGTTTGTCGAGCGCGAACGTTGCACGCGCACCGCCACTCGCCCGCCGCCCCGTACCGCCGAGTTCGTCGTCCGTCGCCGGCGCGTGCCCGCCTATCCGGGTACCCACCAGCAGTGTTGGCGCGTACGTGCGTTCGTGAACGTGCACGACGGCCTCGGGGCGGCGGCACATGGTTTTGATAAGGTTGCCAGCAGCGGCCCGACGACAATCGGCAACAACAACTGGTTGGCTCCGCGCGTCGACGTCATTAATCACAATTATTATTAATCGTGCACTCTTTTTCACCGCTCCTCGCGCACAGTTTCTCGCCTCGTTGCCGGCCTACGATTTTTCCCGACCACCCTTCTTCACCGCTCGAGGGCGCGGAATGCCTTCCGCAATCGTCTCGTCGACGGCTTTTCCCTCGTAGTCCGACGTGGTAGACACAGTTCATCGCACGTAGGTCGGCGATGACTACCAGTGAGACAACGATCGCGCAATAAAGGACATCACGACAACTCGGACTCAGTCCTCTCTTAGGTACGCTGCTGCTGGTGCCCGTCGACATCGATCCAAGCTGATGGAGAGATCCGACGAGCCGTACAAAGAAGGGTACCTATGGTTTCCACCTCATGGAGTACTATCGCAGTTAAAGGTAACTAATTAAAACTTCTGTGCGACGTTCAACGTATATGTTTATCAATAACAAGTAGACGTATCAGTTAAGAAATCCTTTCGCCTCGTACAATTGTTTTTATCTGTTTCATTATCCGTTATACCTACAGTCTATTGCTGATCGCTTTCACTTTTACTGTTAAGATTGTTATTCCTGTGAATCCCTGTCTTGAATTCCAGTTTATAAATGTTCTATATTCATTATCAATAGTTATTATAGAAATAATAAATTGTAATAAGAGATTTATGAATTTTAATAAAAAAAAATTATTTGGGATTAGTAAATAAAATATAAATCTGAATATCAATAAGATAACAGTTAACAAAAATCGCGTTTTAACAACTTTATATAGTGTGATTTAATTTAGTTATCATCTACTAGTATGACATTCATACATTTATTCAATATACTTGTAAAACAATTTATTTATTTTTTTGCAACAATATGAAAACCAATTCATGTATGGAATAATAAAAAAGCATTTGAAATAACCAATGTGTATCATAGGCAATTAGATTTCAAAATCATTTTTCAGAAATCTTGGCAGAAACGTTATTGTAGACTATACAAATGGAGTAAACATGGTATAGACCGTTTAGAAGTATTTGATGGAATTGAAGAACAAAAGTTATCAACTATTGTTTCTATTATACCATTGGAAAGTTGTGTAAAAATTACTCAAGATGCACAAAAACATCAACCTAATGTGTTTGCAGTAAGTGATTGTATTTTTTACCAATAAAAATGTACTTAATAACAAAAAAAAATTAAGTTTAAATAAAAACATTATTTTACAATTTATATAATATTTTATAACCTAGTATATTATACTATTATTAATATTTGGTATAGATTACTCAGTTAAAAGTAAAATCATTATGCATTAAGAATACAAAATTAAAAATTAAATGCAGACCTCAAAATAAAGCAAAAAAAAAAAAAATGGTAAAATTAAAAAAATTATGTATAATTGGTATAAATGTAATAAAAATTAATGAGTGTACATAAAAATAATTTTAAACTTAGTAGGATTAAAAAAATACTAAGATTTTTATGTATATATAACACAGAATTTATTATACATATATTAGTTAAATTAAATGGATCAATACATAGGTACTTGATATCATTATTGAATTTAATGAATACTTTCAATACAATTTTATTTAACATTACACTGCATTATTATTTATGTAATAAAAATAGTATTAGAACAAAATATTATAAATTATAAATAAATCATGTATTAGATTATAATATTATAAATATTTTGTTTGATTTTTTTTGGACTGCTAGCTTTTCATTTTACAAAAAAAAATATTTTTAAATAATTTTGATTAATTAAGAAATTTACTATGACAAATTTGTTGTTTTCATAAATACTTTACATTAATCTTTTATTGACTATTTAAATGGCTTTATATATTTTTATTGAACACAATGAAAATTATATTTTATTCTAAAGGAGAATTTATTATTACTTTGTAATCAATTTTTATTGTGATTATTTTGTAATAACATTTTTATGTCTTAAATAACCTTATTTATCTACTTTCTATAATCTGAAAAATGCATACTTATTAAAACAAAATAATAATAAAACTATAATTTAAACTTTAAAGAAATAAGAAAAATAACTCCATTTCATTTTATGTAAATTGTAAAATGATATATAAAGCAATAAAGATAATTCCTGATCTTATACAATTAATTTTAATTTATAATCAATACATTATTTATCAGGAAAAAATATATTTCATCTTTATTTAGTTTTTTATAAAATACATTAATACTTTTATTGATATTTAACTGGAAAACTAAGTGTATATTCGAATGATCTTAATATGTTTAATATTCTGATGTCTTTATATAGACTACAACTGTAATCATTATTTTTAAAATGCTATATTAATATTGTCACATTTGCTTTTGATAATCTCTTTACAGTTGTTGCTTTAACAATTTTGACTAAGTACTTAAAAGAAAATGTAGAGCTGACGTAACAAAAAAAAATTGAAAAGGTGAAATCTTTAAAATGTCTGCTTAACCCTACAATTTCTGGCATCTCAAATGTGATAAAGCTCATATATATATATATATATATATATATATAAATACTTTATATGTTTTTGATATAAAAATATTAATGAGTGTCAGTTAAAAAATAATTAATTTAAAACATTTTTAATTTGCTACTATAATATATAGTTTTGTGTTTAATTAATTACCTAATTAATTTGCATTATTGAGGTATATTAAGATTAGAATAAACATATTTTAAAATTTAATAATATTCATTTAAAATATGTTTATTTATATCGTTAATGTTGTACATTATTAATGTTATGTTGAAAAAATATTATTGAAGTGATGTAAAATGTTTTCTAGACTTATGTAGTATTTAAAATACTGTTTATATATATTTTTTAAAAATATTCTGAATAATTTTTAATCAATTTTTTATTAATAATTTCATTTTTTTTTTTTTTTTTTTACTCATTTATAAGAAGCTACTAATACATAATATTTTTTAGTTATTATATTATTATGTTTTCTAATATTTTTGGTGGGAAAGTATAGTTATTTTCCAATTTTGTAGAAATGGCTCAAGAACCAGATTAGCTTATCCAGCAATGACAATAAAATGATTATGTCAATAAAATATACATGTAGCATGTAGGTACATCTTGAAAAAAAATATTTGAATAGTATTTAGAATATTTCTATAGTATTCTTAATAATGGTTTTGAATATTATTTTTCATAAGTATTTGAGTTCTTATTTAAAATATTCTTAAAAAGTATTTCACTCAAGTCTGCTTTTATCAAATTATTTTAAATAAAAAATTTATTTAAAAATAAATTTTATTTAAACCTATCATTAACTTCCTATTTATTTAAAATATTAAATTAATTATTTTACCATAAATTAACTTTTATATATCGATTATTATTGACAGGTTTGGACCAAAACTGGAGTTCATCATTTTTCTGCAAACTCTGAACATGAAATGACTGACTGGATATGTGCTTTGCAAACTGTAGCTTTTAAAGATAATGTTTCAAGGCAAACAATTGAAGAAGACAATGATTTATATTGTTCATCTGGAGATGGTAAGTTAATACATTTTTCTCTTAGATTACTCTTAATTAGTTTTAACTAACCAAATCATTAATGTATAATACATTTGTATAATAATTTTAATATTTTAACCATCAATGATATAACATGATTTATACAATATGAAACCAATTAGAAATATTTGATTTTTTTTTTTTTAACAGCTGGTGTTTTTAGTGTGAAATTAATATCATCTGATGCCAGTGAACGTTGTGGTTTAAAAGAACAATCATATACTTTAGTGATTACTCCTGTTGCTCTACAGTTACGAGAATCTGATGAAAACGATACACTTCTATTAACATGGCCATATCGTTTCATACGAAAATATGGTTATAGGGCAGGTAGATTTACATTTGAAGCTGGTCGAAAATGTGCTAGTGGTGAAGGAGTATTTCATTTGGAACATTCAAACCAACAAGAGATATTTCGATGCATTTCATCAAAAATGAAAAGCATGAAAAAATTATTAAATGGCGAAGGTGGTGTGTCATCTATTATGTGTGGTGATAATCAATTTCAAGCAGCATTATCTATGATGGCTCGCTCTCGAAGCCCTTTGCCACCATCGCCTACTAGTACCACTCCATTAATTTTAGACAGTGACTTGAACAGTTTTACTTGTTCATCTAAACCTCTTATGCCTCTACCATTATTATCATTACCTCCGTCAAAGTCTCCTCCACCTCCACCATTAAAACCAAAACCAAAAACAATTTTATCCAAAAAGTTGCCTACTCCATTAATAAATGAACCTTACTGTGAAACCAAAGAAATGGAATCGCCTGATGCAGCATATGAAGATGTCCAAGTAAGAAATGATGCCTGGAGGACAATGGGTTTGGATAATTCAAATCATTGTGAAATGCCTTACGCTAGTAATAATGTGATACCTGATGATGGTACTGAAAATTATGATCGTCTTCAACATTTTGGTTTCATATCTAAAACAGCTCCTGGATACAGACAAATTCACCCCATTGCATTAACCACTAAACATAAACCCTATATAAAAGCGGATACTGTAATGATGCCTGCCCGGAAAGCAGATGATTCACATTATGGGTATGGTACAATTAATAAAAAAAACTCTATAGAAGAGAGTCGCTCAAATAATGAGTCTCTGAATTCTGTAGCACATAACGAATTACAATATGCTATGGTATTCAAACCTAATAAGGTCTAGTCTTAATATTTTTTTTTTATTGAGATTTATCTGTAATTTTATATATTTTACTATCCTAATTTTGTTCTTGAAAAATATCATATTAATTTAATCTCTTAGGAAAAGTTTATTTTGCCATGTATTTTGCTTTATACCTTTATATTTTAAATTGTTTAATTTTATAGAATGTTTGATTTGTTTTAGTTAATTATTAATATCAGATGTGCAATATATACAGTGAAAATTGTTAAAGACTTAGTTATTTAAATTACAGTAAGGTTGAATTGTAAATGTCAATATACATAGTACGATCAAAATATTCCCAGAATTTATTTATAGAAAAGAAACTATTTTACTTATCATAAAAATGATTATTGGAATTAAAAATACTCGGTATATCCTATTTATAGGTATAATTGTTAAAACTACATTAGATTCATGTAAACCGTTATCAATTCCTTACGAAAAATATTTTACGCTTTTTGTTAAAATGGCGCAATTTGAACATTCGCAAATTCAACATTAAATTTTGTTTTAAACTGCTGGAGAAGGAGTAATTCACTAGGAGTTTGTTCCAAATTGACTAATTTTTTTATTGAAGTTTAAAACGTTTAAAAAAATTGATTCGGAGAAATGGAAAAATGAGTGATTTTTGCACCACGAAAGTGCACTGATAACAAAATTCTCAAAATTATTTAAGTATTCACCAGATATGTACTATGTAACATCTGACTATTTTCTAAATTAAAACTCGGACTCAAAGGTGAACATTTTGCGATGATTGAAGTCATTAAAACTAATGTGATGGCTAATCTCAGAATCATACCAATAAAGGGATGTCAAAGATGTTTCGAGCAGTTGCAAATTTGTTAAAGTGTGTCTATTTCCAAATATAAAAAGGAGATTTAGTTAATTTAAGTTTAAATTATATATATAAAAAAATGAAATAAAATTCTGGGTACTTTTTGATCCTACTATGTATAATAATATTGAGAAAAATCTTTTAATTAATATATTATGATAAAATGTTAATTGATTTGTCCCACAATTGAAATAAGTTACTATCCCCCCACCACCAATTATATTTTTTTGAATTTTTATATGAACTAAAACTTAACAACAGAAACATAATATAATTTTAGTTCTTGGTTTCATTAAGAAATTTACTTTTTCAAATAATATGTCACAAACAGTTTTCACTGCAACTTGAGGTATAATATATATACATGAATATTTAATTAAAAAATTTATTTTTAATTCATCTATAATGAATGATAATATAAAAATGATTACCAATTATTAATCATGAATAAATATTTATTTTTTTATTATTTATGTACAATAATCATTAAGACATACTGTTAAGTGTTCAAATATTATTTATAATTATTTTCAAATAATAGAATTTTACCTATAGTTTTATTGAAAAATAATAACAGCACATTAATTGATTGTATATATTGTATTGTGTATCGCCATACTTTGTATGGTTTAATTACAAACAAATAAACAATAATAATAACAAACAGACTAGAGTGTAATAATATGATCTTATAATTGAAAATTATTAGTCGGCTATTATCATAGTTACAATTAAGAAATTTCAAATGGTAAGTAAAAAAATTACTTACATACCTGAATACCCAGTAGTGTTCAGATGTTAAATAAGAATAGTCAGTACTTTTAAAAACTAAATGTGTTTAACATTGATGATTGTAAATTCCTATCATAAGCATGTTCAGACTTTGGTGGCTGAGAGAATATAACAGATTTTTCAAAATTGTGAGACCTATTTTTTTTATTTTAGACTTGAAAAAATATTTATTTTTTATTAAAAATACTCGCAATAATAGGAATATTTTTTAAATTATTATATAGTTATTATGACATATTAGATAACTATACAATAACTAATAATGTAAAATAATAAACTTCAACACTGTTATTGTTATTAAGATACTAATTTTAATGTCTTTTAACAATTCAAATTGTTAAACTATTTAGTACAATCGCGTGTCCCATATTTATTTGCAAATGCACAAATTTTTAAAAATGTAGAGCCAAAACGTTCTAGACTTTAATATGCTACCACCTATGGTCCCGAAAACCAATTATTATAATTTTATAAATAATAAAAAAATGACACCGTGATGAACGATGATAAAATAAATCTAGCCTTTCTCATCGAAAATCCCTATAAAATCCGTTATAATTTTATCAACCACTGTCTGTACTGACTACTGACTAATGTATATTATCATTAATTATAAATACTTATTATATTCTAAATATTTATAATTGGTAATATTACGAATTACAAAGTTAAAAATGGATTTATTAAATAATCTATTCGTATTATGAGGTCTGTTTCAGAATCATACAAAATATTACAGACATTTAATATATACCTATCTATTATTAGATATTTTTACATATATATATAAAATATTATTATTATTATTATTATATGTCTATGCATAATATAATACAGTTGGTATCAAATAGATTAGCAAGACCACAGCAGGTGATAAAAAAAAAAAAACCTTTCTCCTTATTTGCATATTATTACCGATTATGACTAAATATTTTCTAACTGATATGAGTAATATTAGAATGTTTTGTTTTATTTCTAAATAGGTAATATATTGTTATTATTGTCATTGTTAGCCGTTTATTTTTAAACATTTATGATAATGATAAGTAAGACTGAGATTGAACATGACCAACAAAAGTTTGCAATCAATTAATATAGATTTATTATCTATGGTAAAATTATACCTATAACTCGAACTTGAATTATATATTTGTGAATTAAATAATAGCTTTAAAACTATATTAAATGAAGCTATAAGTATTTGTAAAATGGATTTGTTTCCCAATGAGTCAAGAGGACGAAAAAAAAAACTGTATTTTTCGATGAAGGAGTTTCGGAAGATAGCGTTTTCAGAAAAAGAAAACATGAAAGTTAAAACATTTTTTGTATCATTGATGCTTCAATTAGTAATTAAAATAATAGCAAAAAAAAAAAAAAAACGTACAATGAATTAAATGAAAAACTTGATTTTTTTTTTTTTTTAATTTAGAAGATAGATCAAACTGAGCTTAGATGTTATATATATAAATTGGTATATATGAAAAGGTATATATGAAAATTAATTAGGAATTTAATTTATTGTAGAATCAGTACAATTTAAACAAATGGTTTCATGTATGCCAGAAAGTCAAAACAATTATTTTCACACTTATTAGGAGCATTAATAAAATAAAATATATGTTCTACATTTCCGTCGGTGGAAACTACACTTAAAATATGTACATGCATTCATTATTCAAATTCTAGTGGTGAAGGCTACTATAAGTGCTGTCATAAATAATTTTTCGGCTCTTTGTGAACATTTTAAATTTGCTTCAACAGATGTAACAAAGGATTCAAAAGAAAGAAGCAAATACGACGAGTTAAAATTAATGATCTTCAGCGTCGAATTTGTTAATTAATACAAGACAACTCTACACAGAGGTTTAACGAATAATTTAAGAAATTGATCAATAACAATAATTGTTAATTCAATAATTTGTTAATTTAATAATTTTTAATTATTATTCATTGTATGTAAGCAGTTAAAATAAAAGATAACAACAGAAAAATGTATAGTCGTACAGATTTACTTAATAGTCTAAGTGTACTAGATCGAAAAAAAAAAAAACCGGAAAGTGTCACGAGCGACCCTCCAAAGATGACAAGACATGAGCTTAGAAGTATGGATTTATTATGAAAAATTTGAAGTAAATATTCTTAATTCAAAATATGTGCTTTCAAATTCGTTTTAAATTTTACAATTTTAAATATTATTTTAAATGTTTTGTTCATTGCTTCCTATTATTTAACTTTATTATGATGTATACTGGAATAACTAATCATGTATTCATCATTTATATACTATACGCACATGGTGCATCTATAAACATAAATAAATATATACATCTATACGATTACACAATTGTTTTATTTATCTTATATAGTTATTATATTATTAGTCACAATATTCGAAATAATTATATAACTTAATTCTCTAATGAATATGTTTTAAATTACATTTAGTATATTTAGATCTTCCTTTTGTATACAATATTATATAATAATCAATAATGTTTAATTGTCAATATCAACAGTGTTGAAATTAAAATACAATACAATAAAATATAAATATTTAATATAAACGGCAAATCAAGACTTAAAAATGTACTTGTTTCTTTCGCCAAGTTGAAACTATTTCTTTACACAAAATGCATTTACATTATATACCAGGAACATTAGCGATTACAGATTGATGGATACAATTTTTTTATTTTTTCAATAATAAAATAATTGTTTTAAATTAAAAAACTGTAACAACCAAAAATAAATATAGATTTGTTTTCCCTAGTATAATTCTAACTATTAATAACATTTTTGTGAAAATAATATATTCATTATTAATTAATATTCCTATAAAATATTCAACAAATAGGAGTAAAATCGTAATAATTGCAACAATTAGTTATTAATAACAAGATAAACTGACAGCACATTCATATATTCAATACAAACATACATATATATGTATATATAATATATTGTATAATGATATTTAAAATTTAATAAAATAATATAATAATTAATAACATTAAAATAATATGAGGTAACTCTAACAGTAATGTTTAAAAAATTAAAAAAATTATTAAGAAAACGCCATAAATGAAAACAATTTCAGGCCACAAATACACATTATATAAATAGTAGTAGTCTTAATAGTATTTGTTCATTAACATGGATGTCGTTGTAATAAATCTAAGAGGTATATAATATACTGCAAGAGAAAACCACTGAAGTCTTGTGGAGTAAAAGTATAGTAATTTTTAAGGCTAATATTTGTTCAATAATCACTTATGTAAAGGACTGAATGTGAGTTGGGCAAAATCACGTACCACTTCATTGAAAGATTCTTCTGAATTTCCATGTTCAGAATTTTTTATTTCTTCATTCAAACGACTTAGTTTAAGCCTAATAAAAAACAAAACATTTTATTTACCAGTCAAATTATATTCTAATAAAAATATTTAAGTATTGAGTTTAATTGACAACATCTAGTTTTAATTATTTAGATCATAAGAAAAAAAAAAAAATTGGAATAATTCAAATTTATTGAGATTAACTAGCAAATTCAATTTGACATTTGAAATTGATTCAACAGACTAAATATTGTGTTAAGTTTATTAGTTATTTTTGAACTCTTATAATATTTAAAATTGATACATATGTGGGTATGTGCGCTTAAATTTATCATTTAAATTGTATTTATATTAAATATTTTAGAAAGAAAAAAAAAATTGTTAAATAAATTACTAATTAAATAAATTTGATATTCACATATAAAAGTACATATACAATGTGATTTTTTAAAAAGGTAAACATTTACATACAATGTTACTATATTTGCATTAGCTTGTTTTATGGCCACTTCTAGCGGTTCAACATTTTCATGATTTCGAAGATACTGATTTGCTTTGTGTTTTAATAGAAGACAAACTTGAGCTGTATGATCTAAGGAAATAAAACCATTTTAAATAAAAATATAATAAATATTTTAATTGTTTACACTTATTTAATTGAAGACATTTTATTTTTCTATAGGAATTTTTGATTATTGATATGAAATTTTATTTGATAAAAAATATGTCATTAAACCTCTATAAGACTCAATTATACTAATATTTAATTTATAGATAAATAATTTGGTTAATACAAAACTAAATTTATATTTAATTAGATAACATTTTTATCAGGAAAAATCAAATAAATGTAGTGGTCAAATAGGAAATACAGAAAATAATTAATCAGGTAGGTAATAAGTATAATAATAAAACCAAACCATCTATATTTAATTTATTTTGTTTTCATATAAGTACTAAATGTAGTAATTGCTGAGTAAATCAAATGATAAAAAAAAAAAAATAATAAAAAAATACACAAATAAATGTATATAAAAATTCTAGTATTTGATAATAGATCAAAAAATTACCCAATTGTGTAGCGAAAAATAGAGGCGTCTGACCATCAAAGTCTTGGATATTTATGTCAGATGCATTTAAAATTAAATATTCACAAGCCATAACAGATCCCTGAAAAAAAAAATATTATAAAACACAAATTATATTTTTGCATAGGTATAATATATAATATACATGTATAATGTAACTTACACTGAGTATAGCTTGGAAAAGGCAAGTCCTTCCATTATCGTTAGGATTTCTCCAATTTTTGTCTGCTCCTATTGCTATAGCATGACACATTACTGGTAGGTTATGGGCTGCTGCAGCACGGTATAGCAACATGTCTGGTCCTAATGTACACATGTCTTCTTCTTCTACTACAGAAATATTAAAATAAAATGATTAACTAATTATGGAATGAACAAAACAAACCAACCATCTACTCCATCATCGCTAATTGTTGACTCATCGTCACTACTTATAGCATCTAAAGATATACTTCCGGCATTGCCACTAAATATCATGACATTATCTTTTTTTTCATTTTTTTGCACAGATTTGTACTGTGTTCCTCTTCGTCTAACTTTAAGAACACTCCATTTTTTGGTATTTTCTTGTATTTCTTCCAAAACTAATTCATTATTAGGTAATGGTTTTACATATAAGCGATCTACATATTTATTTCGAATCCATTGCTCACGAATAGAGCTATAATTAATTATTATAAACATAAATAACAAATCATATAAAAAAACAATTTATCAAGTTTAATTAGGATATTACTCATGACATTTTGCTGAAGCGCGAATCACTGTATTAGGAACATTATATTCATACACTTCATTGACTACAGAATTTCCAACTTCAGCTAAAACTTTTAAAATCTCTGGTTCCCAGTCATCAAGTGTCAATGAACGGACTTTACTATAATGAACACCCAGACTTCGATGTACACCAGAACATTCTAAAAAATAGATTAGTCTATGTTACATTATAATAAATCAATATACTTTATTGTTTGTCAGAAATGTATTAAGATGTATAACAGTTGGTTAAAAAATGAACCAAGGTAAAATTTAAACTTCAATTATTTTAAATTATTAATTAAATACATTTTTCTACAGTTCAAAAATTCCCAAAAATAAATGATAGTATAAAAATATATTTCAAAATATATTACAAATTATAATAATAAATCAAATTTAAAATTGTATCCATAATAAATTTGAATCGTTATGTTTTTATTTGAAATATTTGAGTACAAATTTCAAGTGAATGCATATTCTTTCCATTTTTAAGATAATAAAAAGAGCCTGAGTACATGGCAGACTAAATAAATAAATATAAATAATAATTAATTGATTAATTAGTTCAGTCAAAATAAGGTTTAAATACCAACCAATACATAATGTAATGCCCAGGTTTATGCTAGCCCAGTTTGGGTTTGGTGCTTTGCAATCGCAACACTTTTCATTGCCAGGAATTTTTACCAAAACTTCCAGAGTCCTATACATATAATTTACATTTTTAATGTAATTGTTAGTTAAGTAAAAAAAAAATAAATAATATATATTACTTGGACTTTCTAATTTTATTTGAATTGCTTGATAAACGATTGTTTAGAGTATTAAAATCATTGGTCATTTGACTATTCCCAGAAGATTGATTAGTACTTCGTTGATCACTATGTTGTATTGCAGCTCCAATGCCTTGTTGAAGTGCTTCTATCCATGACTTATACACATATTCAGAATCAGCTTGCAAAATGTGACTCCTGCAAAAATTAAATAAAAATCAATTAATTTTTTAGATTTTAAATAGAAAACAAAAAGTAAAAATAGTATTTACTTTGTAGGTGACAAAACTTCAAAACAAAATCTTCGTTCTGCATCATATGCCGGTTTAACTGAACAAATTCTTAGATCATCTTCCATTATGGTAAACAAGTCTTCACCTAAAAAATGATTAAAATATAAATATAATTTTATTTTTCTAATGATTTATTTTCCTTTTAAAACATATAACCAATATATTTTATTTTAATTTAAATTAAAAAACCATATTTTAAAACCAATAACTTAGTGAATTGTATATAAAAAAAAGAGACTGACAGCCATGACTAACTTGATAAAATAAATACATTATAAATTATTAAAATGTGACTGTAGTACATATTGTAAACCATTTCATAATTGAGGCATTTAGTAAAATAACAGACTAACCCACAATTGATTATATTGAGACTTATGCTAAACAAATTCCATTTTTGCTTTTCAAATTTTTCAAATTATTTATAATTTAAAATGCAAATACAGTTTAGTTTAATTATATGATATAAATTGCCATTTATGCCATTAACTCAAAAGTTATAAATTGTAAGTTAGTCTATTACTGCACTCAATGCTACAATGCATGTTCAGTTTAAAATATATTAATAATATAGAGTAAAATTAATTAAAACATAAATATATAAGTAAAACAATATTAAAATATAAATCTTAAACAATAAATGACTACATAGAGCAATTAAATTAAAATTACTAACCATTTCTTTTACGGTATGCAAGTTGATTATTCTTTAAATAAAACCATCGTCGATTCCATGTCTTGAATGCATTACTGGTTCGCTTGTACAGATAACCTTCAATGCGAGTCACTTCCTTATTCTTGGCACTATTTTCACAGTCATCACCAATCACCATAACCGTATCATGGCTTTGATTTCAAAAATAGCAAACTTAAAAATTTATATTCATTCCTATTCACATTACTGATTTTTTTTTATAAATATTTTTTTAAGAATTACAAACCTGTCAACTAGTTTATGATGTTCACTAAGCTGTTTTTCCATTTTAGTTGCATCAGTGGTCATCACATTAACTTCTTCATTCAAATTTTGAATAAAATCTTGTAAATCTTCAGTCAATGTAAACCCTTGATGAAAATATGTACTCCATGCTTGGATATAAAACAATAACTATATAAAATCATTCATAAAATTAATAACTTATTTTTTTTTTTAAATTAAAGTTTTTTGAGAAAAAATTTAAAAAATACTTACTGTTGAAAAAATTTCTGGTTTTTTCCTGGCCAAAAGCATGGTAATACAATGGACATGATCCAAGGCAGCATGACGAAAAGAACTTCTAGCCGATGCAACTTGACCTAACAGTTCATCTGCTTCATGTGGGCGTGATTTTAATACCTGTGAGTTTCTTAATAGAGCTGCATCGAGTTCAGATGCTGCCTTTTCAAATACATGCTTTGATTCTTTACTTGCTTTTATATCCCTATAGAAATAAAATATATATCTTAGAAAATGTATTAAAAATATACCTATTTAATATTCAAAAAACTTACTCTTTAACAAATACTGTTAAATTATTTAAAACTGTACGTGAAGCTTGATCTAGGAATGTTGTTAAAAATTTGTTCATTTCTTGAAGAGCATGAATAATTTTATTCAAGTTTTTAGTAGATGAGGTGTCATCACGGAAACAAAGTCCCATTTCCCACAAGCTATTAGCAAATAATGATTGTTGACTGACATAAGTCTTTCCAGAGTCAATCATTAAACTACATACTTTTACGACCTACATGAAACAAAAATATTGTAATATCAATTTTACAGTTATATCAGTACACTAATAGGTAATAATTGCAATACAATTAATGAAGCAATAAGCACTATCTATAATTGTTTATAATCTGATACAAAATTAGAACCTACTATATAAAATAATAAACACAACATGTGTTTTAATTTATAATTGCTTCATTATTGCAGTACTATTATGTCATATAGATTATAATCACCTTTTCTAGTCTATGTTCCAGTAAATCAATATTGGACTCATGTCGATCTAGTTGTGTTCTGAAATAAAATAGATACACATTTTATAATAGAAGTATAAAAATATATACATAGTGTATCACTATTTTTGACTCATATAAGAACTATTTAATTATTGCATAAAAAGACACATATATTACTAGATCTGATTATTATTGAATAATTATGAAGATACAACAAATGTATGATAACAAGTAAAAATTTACAGACTTTCATAATTGAATATTTTATAATCTTATTTTTTTCAATTTGATAAAATTCTATAGTATTTGTAGACCTTATATAATAGAACATGGTTATAATTCTTATATTTGACACTAGGCTCAAAGTACATGCTTACTACGTCTTTATGAGTGTACAATATTAATTTACAATTTTACCTACAATATTTTCAATAACTACAACAATCCAAAATATGACACCACTGCCTACTTAAGTGCAACCAGGGGCGGACTGGCCAGGTTAAGGTACAAGGAGGCCTTCTGTACCCTCGATAATGTCATATTAATTATGAGTAAACAAAATGTAATATTAAAATGTAATGGTAAAAAAAATCAATCATTTACTATTAAAATATTCGAATTTAGATAAATTGAGCACAATTAACTAAAAATATTTATTAATTAAAATGTAATAATAATAGGTCCAGTTGACCCCCCCCCTCACCAGGTCCCTCAATACCCAGTTAGCCCCTGAATCCAACAAATATGTTTCATCTATTAGTATAAGTTTTATGGTTGTATGAACATTCCGATTACCCAATAAAATGTTTTTTGAAGAAAAATATATAGTAAAAAAAAAATCAACATTTAAATCTTTATCAAAAAATATTTTAAATTTTTAAATTATTAGCTACATAAGAACACCATACAAAATATTTAGAAAATATTAGCTTAAGTGCTTCAAAATTGATGATTAATTAGTGTACGAAAATAATAATGTCAGTTGAATCCATATAAAGGCATGTTGTTTCCTTGGCAGATATACAAAATCATATATATATATATATATATATATATATATATTTATTTCAAATATTATAATTAACTTTAAAAAGTAATCATATACTTTAAAATTGATGATTAAAAATAAACATTAATAAAATTTAACTTTTATAGCAATAATACAGCTTTCAGTTACTCAAAATTTATTTAATTTTAAATAATTACTGATATTTAACATTTAATAATCATAATATCACAATTTTTATAATTAAAAACAGGCGCGTGTACAGAGGGGGGTTTGAGGGGTTCAAACCCCTCCTGAAATTCAGGAAAAAGATTAAATGTTTTTATATAGTAAAATTGGTATACAGATTATATTATTATGAAAATTTACAATCTAAAACCCCTTCCAAAATATTTTTTTTTGTACGCGCCTGATTAAAAAATAAATATTTTAAACTTTAATTTCATTAATAACAATGTGTACAATACAAAAATAAACTGACTTGTTATCAGGTTTATTTATCCATTATATAGAAATACTTAAGACCTGCGAAAAATATTTTGACAAATATTATTTAGGTAAAGGCAAGGGTGAAGATAAAGGTTTTCATAAAAAAAATATTTTATTTAGAAGTTTCATTCAAGTATAAAATATATATTAGCCAATAAGGAGCAAGTTAAAGTTTCCTTGTTAAATTATAAGTAACAAGCTATAATAATAATAATATAACACTATTATTAGAATACTGCCATGATAAAAAAAACCAAATGTAATATAATGTCTATAAATTTAAAATTAGTAATTCTATTTTTTTTTCATTTTCAACAGAAAAATAAGTTAAATTAATAATATATATATATATATATATATATATATATTACTCCAATATAAAAAACAAACAAAACAATATACCTTTCTTTTATCATATTATTGAATATAGTGTTTATCAAATTTATAAAATTGTTATATAAAATGTAAATAATAGTATTATATTTTAATACAATGATTTATATTATTCTAAAAAACTGGTACTTTAGATTATCTTTGTATAATTTGTTTACACATCAAAGTACTGAAGGAAACTACAAAATGGATAAACTATCTTACCTTCAATTATTATTATGAAATTCACATATTTATATAATGATATGATGTAGTAATCTCTAACATTTATATTTACAAAATTATATTTGAAAATAATCGACAATCAGAGTCAATATCATCAACCGATATACTTCTGGTAATGTTAATGAATTTCTGTATCTATTTATTTATACTGTTATTATTACTTCATTATTTCGGGCGCACGACTGAACATTTTACAATAAATGTTTTCAAGTAAAGCCGCTTACCGAGTAAATTAAATTATATTATTATTCTATTGAATTTTGATTGTTAGCATATATATTATAACCAGGTACATGCTGAATAATTTTTATTCTAATAAACAGAATATTGAAAATCAATGTACACGAGCCAATGAAAAAATATCAAAAAGAGGTAAATAGTTACAAACTCAGCTACTAACAGTAAATGGGACGTGCAATTGTAATTTCTTATAACGATATTGATTAATTAATTTCTCCTAACTGCAGTTCGATTTTTACAGGCTACTAGAACGTATTGGCTATCTACATAAATTTATACAAAAATATCACATTAAAAGTTGTTTATGCCGATTCAATAGAGCCGTACGCAAGGTGGTAGAAAAGTAAAAATTGCGACGAACAATCAGTTGCCCTGACAAGAGTCGCGGGGCGGACGAACAATATGTAATGCACTCGGGGTGCGTGATCGGAAATTCACATAAGAGAGAAGGGTTAACGTGGCGCGGTCGGTCACGGTATGACGAGGAACGTGAGAGACCTATGCCGACCGGCGACGGTGAGCTGTGCGTAATGTAAGTTGCGACCAACCTGAACTTGGGCGAGTCCTGCAGACAATCGGTCACCGAAATGGTTTGCATCGCGGCAGTTTCCAGGCGACGTTTGAGATAAACGAGCTCGCGCGCGTACGGGCCTCGACGGTCTCAGAACGCGACGACCATGGCCGGGGACCGGGGTTCCGTTTTGTTGACGGGTCTGAGGGTGGGACGCGCGGACGGGTGCCGTAAACACGACAGTGACGATAGTGACGGCGGCGGCGGCGGCGGCAGCGACGAATCGATTGCGCGCAGAGGAATATCGGTGGACGGTGCGCGAGCGAGATGGAGTGAATAACACGACGAGCGATCGAGGCGCGCGCGCACGCACACGCTCGCACCCGTACACGGGCGCATGCGCAAGCGCACGCGAGAGCCGAACGTAGCAGATAACGGGCGCGACACCTGACACCGCCGCCGCCGTCCGGCCGAGCGCCCTTCCACCGCGCCGAAATTACGTCGCGCGAACGGCAGCACAACCGCGTTCGAAGGAGATCCTGCACGCCGGCGATGGTAACCGTTGCCCGATCACCTGCGACCGTGTCGTCACCGCCACTGGCACTCGTGCGAGGGCTGCGCGGCCCGCGGAGTCGCACCCATGTTAGGGTGGGGCCGAGAGGGGTAGAGTCCCGTCGTCTCAGCCTTTTGTACAATGTTTTCGTTGCGCTTAAGTATGTACAAGTAGTATGTACATCTTGACCGAACAGATGCAAGCAAAGGGGGCATGGAACCGATCAGCTCCGGGGCTCTCAAAACTTCTCGCCGGCCCTGGGTGCACCCGGTGTAAACGGCACCGTTGTACGACGACGTCGTGCGTTGACGGTGCCGCCCAGCGATCATCGTTCTCGTGCATTATCTTGTTTCCGTAGACGCGCGTTCGGGACTTCAGCGTAAGTGGCGAACACAGGAACTCGGAACAAATATTTATACGTTTCTACGCGTATTTTTCCAAACATTGATTTTTAACGCTACTCGTTTGCTTTGGTTCAACGTTGCCGTTAAAAAACGACTTCGTTCCAACCGTTGTTGTTTTCTTGAATCCATTCGTCAATAACACTGTCAGCCATAAATATGACCACACCTTTTTAGCAAATCGTGCACAAAACCAGTATAAAAGGGATAGCAAATACGGTCTTCAAATTGTATCGAACAAACTGGATGACGTGTTATGTTGTGTGCACTCTAAACTGTAACATCCTTTTCCCTTGTTTCGATCTAGATCCACCCTTGATATAGCTTACACAGAGCTCTGCATTTTTTTCGTTTTCCTATTATGCATTACACCAAGACGTATAATAACCACTAATATAAAATCTATTATTCGCGATATGTTCATTGAAATTGAATAGTTGCGTACCAAGAAACGAATGCGCACATCGTCCGACCACCTCGGTTGTACGTGTCAGTCAATTCGAGGAAAGAAAAACGCAACCGCAACATCATAAATTTAAATACGTGTACGTATTACGTTATAACATTATGTTATTGCGTCATCCGATCGAAATGATAACTATAGATATTCGTTTCCTAGACCGAGAAAACAGTCGTATTGTTTTGTTACTTTTTTCCCTCCATTTATTGCTACGTAACGTATGAGTGAAGATGACGTATTCAAAGTTGCAGGATTGTACGTTTCAAGCAATATCGAGAGTTTTATTACTGGGGCGAGAAAATCAAAAAATCTAAAACAAGGACTTGAGAGTTTACTTCAACGATATTAAACAATTATAGGTATTCTCCTACTGTGATCAGACTATAGCGCCTATTGATTAAATATAATCTATTGTTATACGAATTATCAATTAATATTTATCGAAAATCATTCCACATGAAACTATAATATTATAACAACAATATTTTAATATTTTTAAGAGATTTTTAATTTTTATTAGTAAAATAAGTATAAGTAGTTTAAGTCAAGTTTCTTATTTCCACTTCAAACGTTCTAAAATTCTTATGCTAAAATCCTTTATTGACGTTAATTGTATTTCGGGACACGTCTGTGTATTCTTTACACAAGCTTCCTAATTTTTACTACTATATTCGCCTATACTTGATTATTATTATAACTATATTGTTCTATAGAATTTTTTTTCTCGGATTAATGCTTTTATATATTACTTAATTTTCCAACAGCGTATAATGATGTTGTTAACATGCGAAATGTTCTTTGTGCAGTAAAATACATGTATCAAATTATAATATGATAAATTTCAGTGCTGAAAAAAATAAAAAAGGAGTGTCACTTGTGCTAGTATGAATATATATTTATTTTTATGCATATAATATTAATATATATCGTGAATAATGTGTGTAACATGTGTACAACAAAACGGCGACACGTCAACACTGAACAAATGGATGCTTTTATATGATTTATTTGATTACATTTCAAAAACAAATTATTAACTCGGACTGCTAAACTGCAGTTATAATTACAAATAGTACTTCTAGTTTTAAACATAAAATCTGTGTACGTGTACCGTCTAAAACTCAACTCAAATTATTGAACTGCTTAATCAGTTGCGTTCGGATCCCAATATGAAATACTTAACAAATAAACGGGTGTAGTGTGACCATTAAAATTTGGTACTCAAAGTGGTGTATTTGGGGAGGGGGGCTCCCGGGTCTTGATCCGCCCTTAGAAGAATAAAAAAAGGTAACTGTTTAGCGATTTTATCGATAGATAAAAATTACTTAATAACAATTGAAAAAATTATTGATAAACTAGGAAAAAACTACATTTACCTTTTTTATTATAATCACCTCTTAATTTGTATTTAACATATTATAGTATTAGAATTTTAAGCCCCCTCTACAAACAATTTTAAATACACTACTGGATATAAGGTATTATATCGATGTCTTATTTGAATATTTTACAGTGACTATATGTCTATAACAACTGAACTTTACTGACTATCGACTGTTCTTTATTAAGTTATAAACCGATTACTGCATAGTAACTAAGTATTAGTGTAAGACATTATTGATTTTAGAATATATACGGATACGTATTGGTAGTCTTTACAAGGATGCAATCGCTAGACTTCGCTGTAATCATCTGCATTCATCTCGACAAGAAAGGTTTTCAACAATGGAAAATATTTTCTGTTTCTACCGTTAGAAACATATTTTTATCAAGTTAAATGCAAATAATTACAGCGAAGTCTATTAGCTGCTTGTATCCTACCAATTTTAACAAATTGATTGCATATCTATATACTCTCAAATCAATGGTGTTATCTTCTTATATTTGATTACTTAAAATATTTTCTATAGGTTTATCATTAAACATTCGACTTGAACTTAATTATTCACTTTTATCAATTGTATATGACGTATATGATTAAAAAAAAATCAAGTTCAAGTTAAAAAAACCTAGTTTTTTCTATACAAATATTATATTAATACTCTAAACTTTTTTTGTTATTATATAATACACCATACACTATATATTTCAGAATATAAATAAATACGATATCGTATATACTATTAAGTGAAGTTCGCACCTATTTACCAAACTATTAAATATTATTCTAAGTTCAATGTCTCTCTTTGTGCGTTAAATATCTTTGGCTAGAATCTTATAATATATATATCTTATAATTAGGACGTGGAATTTTATGTGAATACATCATTTTATTGAATGTGAATTTTTTAATTCTGATTAATGTTTAATAACACCCTGCATTTTATGAGACTTTTTTATTTAACATTTTTTCACATATTTTGATGATAATACAAATTTTTAAATATTTACTTATTTTGTAAATATTTCACATTTTCAAACGTATACACTTTTTGTTTGTATTAAAATTATAATATTGAAAAATAATTAGAAAAAAATTAAAGAAGTTATTTTAAATCTTGATTCAAATACTGCAATCGCTATTATACAAGCTTCTGATATTATGTAAAATAATTACCTAAAAATCATTTAGCATACATTTCCACAAATTGTTATTTGTTGGTTAAAGTAATGAAAATATTAGAAACATTAAATCTAACAATAATTGAAAGTCTTGCAATAGTGGAAAATGCAGAAATCAAATTGAATAAAGTTTGAGGAGAATTTGGAGTTATAGTAAAAAATAAATTAAACTACGTACTCGGTAAGAACGTTGATTTACTATTAGAGATATTCTTATGAATAAAAATGAAAATACGTCAAATGATATTGAAGTTACACCATCCGCCACATGTAGTATGAAATACGCTTCATTTAACTTGATGGACGTTGAATCCACCTTCAGCCGCTAAAAATTGATTTTGAAACCTAACCACTGTACATTAAAATTTGAAAATCTCCAAATTTACGTTGTATTCAATTTTTTTGAAGAAGACAATAATGAAGATGATTAGATGAATAATTATTAATTATTAATTAAAAATTAATATAAAATACCGGATTTTTTGTTAAATATTTCACGTTTTTTTATACATATTTTGGCAAAAATAAAAACATAAATAATTACATATTTTGACTTTTTTATTACATAAAAATACATGCCCTACTTACAACTATTGAAATTTCAAATTATTATCCCGGACTTTTTACATTTTTTATGATCATATCGTATGACATTTTAAGTTTAGAATCTAAACTAATGGTCTATTAATGCACTTTACAGTCAGTATAACGATATACTGCGTATCGCCGTACCAGTAAATTGATGATTCGCTTGACAACATTACAAGTGAACTCTTAAACCTTTCATCTAGACAAATACTATTGTATTGACCACCAACTATTAAAACGTATTTATAATCCATGTGAAGCTGTGCGCAATGTGTGCATATTATAATACCTATTACATGTATCTATTATGTTCGTGTTAAGCCAACTGGTATCGGTGAATTAAATTTACTAACGATTTTAAGTACTTTTATTTTTATAACATTGCACACGAATACTGCAATTGTATGTAACATAAATAATAAGTACATGCTGTGTAGTGTAATGATAATGTAACTGGTAATAAAATACGATAGGATAAAAAACAATAATAATTATTTGTATAATGACTGTACACACTGCAAAATATGTGTTGATTACATAAATACGAGTATAGTACTCGTATTATAATATATATATATATACGCATTACCTATGTTAATGGAAGAACTATTGGGTAAAGCCATAGACCTTATAAGATCATATAAGGTGTACCTATGTAGTTAAATTTACTTCGCAACGTTACATAATATGCTTGGAAAATAATATTAATATTGTATAAGATGTTATCCATTATTTATAAATATAAAACGCTTTTTAAAGTTTTTCACATAACTTGATTTTAATTAATTACATATTACCTGTATGATAAATGTTTTAATTTAATGTATTTATTTAATTTACTTTATGATACAATTAAAAAGTAGAAACTACAGTAAATATATTTACTCACAATGTATCTAAATAAATCAAATATTCGTGATTCTTAACACTATGGTCAATTACCATAAGCTATTATGGTTACCTATTGAGTAGATTATTAAATTTACAAATTATATTAAATTAA